GTCTGCTTCCGAAGAAGCAATTTTCAGGTTGAAGACTGCTGTTGTGTGTATGGACTTGAACATCTGTTGCATTGCATATCTGTTAATTTCATCTGCAAGGAATGATGTATGTTATTTTGCCTTTTAGGCACTAAATGCTCTTAGCTCTTTCTGAAGGTTGTAATCAGCCTTCATATCATCAGAAAGTTGCATCGTCCCCTACACCTTCACCTTTTTTTAGGTCACTTATGGGTATGCTGAAGTTTGGGCCCTCAGATAAGTCTCTTTGCCTCTGACAACATGACCATCTCCCTCTTCCTGGTTCCAACTGCTCTTGATACTTGTAATACAGTCTAAGTAATATCTGAGTAACAAATTCTGATCTCTCTGGTGGTGTAGAATTAAGAGGTTAGAAACTGGAGAAAGAGTTAAAAACAGTTGACTATATGTGCCTGAGTCCACCTTGCAGCCTAACACCTGTGAAAATCTTGAGTGGCTTCAGCGGCAACATATAGTCCCTGACAATGCTGTAGAATACTTCAGCTGCATTTGGGGAAGAACAAGCAAGTCTCTTGGTTTAATTTTTTTTAAAAAAGGCTTTATTTTCTTATTTGTGTTTTTTTTTTTTTTTTTTTTTGCAGCTTTTCTGTTTGTCCTACCTCTCTTTATTTTCCTGTCTATTTTTAAATAGTACTGTTGAAAGTAACCCTTTTAGACAGACCATCAACAGCAGGTGAGTCTTTGTCTCAATGCACAGCTCACCAGTGACTGTGAAAGGTCTGTTTATTGATCTTCTTGAAGGTAACCTAGCATTGTGTATTTTTTTGTGCCTTGAAAATAATTTCGTTTAATATCCAGAATAACAGTCAACATGGAACCTGAGGTATGTATCTTAGGAAGTAACTCTGACATGGTGTCCTGGTGTCCCGGGCCAGCAGGGCAGGCCCTTGGCAGCCGCAGCCAGGCGGGAGCTGCAGGCAGGGCAGCTGCCCCGGCTGCCCCCCAGGGCTGTCCCACCCCTCACCTCAGGCTCAGGAGGAAGGGGAGCTGTGCTGAGGGGGAAGTCCTTGTGGCTCCTCCCTCTTGGCCTGCTGCTCTCCCTGCTACTCCCCACCACTAGGCTGAGTATGAACTTCTGTACTTCATGTTGACTTTTGTGTTAGATCTGTTATTTTATTAAGTCTGTTTATATCTCAACCTGTGTGGCTTCTCTTCCTGATTCTCTTTCCCAGCTGGGGAGAGGTCACCAGGTTAGAGTTTAGCCCCAGGTACAGGCTAAACATAGATAGGTGCCTTGCTGTCTGCAGCACTGAAGGAAGGGGGTACTCTTTTTGATTAAGAACTCATGGGCACATCTAGTAAATAGGAAGTTTCATTACCCAAAGCTCTCATTCATGACCTTTTTGTGGGCAGAGATATTATGCATATGTCATGTTATGAACATTATTATATTTAATGTTGAACATTTTATGGAGGTGCTCTTGCAATACTCCAGTAGTGCATAAACTGAAGTTTAATTGTGTTCCTGTGTAAGATGATTAGAAGAGTTGAACCACTTATATGCCTGGTTTTATACGAGGGACTTGAAATCATATTGTATCCAAACATAATTAAACTCTAAGCTTATACCCTAGACTGAGGTTTTCATTTTACTAAGCAATCTTTGTTACTAAAAGTGTGCCATTGATTTGTAATAATCTTGGAAGAAACAGTCATTCACTTCTGTGGTGAATTTCAGCATGCAGGTTTTAGCCTTGCCATTTACAGTTCTGTACATGTCTCCCAAAAGAAACAGGTGAATATACATTTGAGCCTAGTGAGAGGACATGTGGGGGTCTACATGGGTGCCTTGGAGGTGAAGCCCATTCCTTACATGATGAGAACTATTGTGCATGGTTGGTGGTTGCTCAGCAAGGTTTCTTACGGGGACCTGAGGAGCAAACTAACGAAATGGATTGTGTGAATTTCTATTTTCCATGCATAGCAGAGGTTAAGGTCATCTGGAAGATGAAGAGAGTTCCAGTGTATGGAGATTGTTGACTGTACAGTCAGCATGTGTCTAATCAGATTTAATAATTTTGACTCAATGCAGGTATTGCCAGATTGATATGACTTCTGGAGAGTTTCTTTGCACAGTTCTTCAGTGTCCAGGAAGTTTTATTAGTCTGTATTCCATGCTGTGCAGATCCAGAGTTGCTTCTGATCCAATGCTGGCACTAATCTGTTCTGTGGCATTAGATGATTACGGATCTTTCTGCCCAGTGCTCTGAATTCCCGGAATACTTTGCTGGTCTTATTAGCTGTAAAACATCCAGCACAAAATACTTCAGAGACTGAACAGCTGCATTCTCATTTAGCAGTCCCAGGTCAAATAACCTGGGCTTGATCTGGGCTGGCTCTGGGCCCCAGATTCCTCAGGGTGTACCTCAATATTGGGTTGGCAGTGGCTGGTGCTGTGTGTGCATGTGTGTTGGTTACAAGGTGGATGTATTTCTGATGTGGGAGGAGAGGGCAGATCGAAGATTTTTGTTGGCTTCTGTGAGACCCAGTTACTGTTTGAACAATGTAAAGGATTATTTGGTGTGACAATCAAAATTTGACTGGTGTTGCTCAAGAGAAAATGTAAGGGAGATTTTCTTTAATTCCAGTCTAATATTCAGGTACCCAAAACTGACACCATTCCTTCATAATGTAATTAGTTGGTGATTTTAAATCAGGAACATTTATATTTGTTAAGATACTGCAGTCACAGGAATAACGTCTACAAAATAAATTGAGAAGCTTGGCTCATTTTACTTATTAACTCTCCACAGACCACTTTTTTTATTGTAATAATATACAGTCTCCTTTTTCCAAGGTATTTCTTATACAATCAGAAGTGCTGCTGCAAGTAGAATAAAACACCTGATATGATTATAATTTAGCCAATAATATGATGGTGAGAGATAAGCAACAGGCTTATGTAAGTATGGGGAATTTCTATATCACTCTGCATCTTTTTTGCGTGTGAAGGGGCTGCTGCCTAATTAATTCCTTAAACTGGGCTCAGCTGGCACTTTGAAGTTTTACTTAGGCGTAGCTGCATCAGAGCTTGGCCTGCCCTGGGCTGGCATCCCTAGTGCTTGCTTCATTTTGCACTTGAAGTTTCCTTATTGGTCTGAGAGCTTATAGATGAGGATAAAGTCAAGTTCTTGTCAAATGGTGTGTTAGGAACTATTCCACTACATTTCATGTGTTTGGCACTTTGCTGTCAGAGTGGAGGAAACAGTGTGTTTAAATGACTATTCAGAATATTTGTTCTTTTAAGTAATTTAAAAACACTTATTTCTCTTATAGCACTTAGAGCCAAAAGGGCTTGTACATTGATACTTGTGTATTGAAAATTTTATTAAAGTAAACATCAGAAAAAACTTCTTTCCTGTGAGAGTGACAGAGCACTGGAACAGGCTGCCCAGAGAGGTTGTGGAGTCTCTCCTTCACTGGAAACATTCAAAACCCACCTGGACATGTTCCTGTGTGATGCTCTGGGTGATCCTGCTCTGGCAGGGGGTTTGGACTAGATGATGTCTAGAGGTCTCTTCCAACCCCTAAAATTCTGTGATACTGTGATTATAGACCTTTCTTTTAAACTCAGGAAAAGAAATAAGCATAATTGGAATTTTTCCTAGGCTGTTGGTGGTTTTCTGGCATATCATAAACATAAGCTTGTTGAATGTATCTTGCATCAAGTATGTCTACTTTTATATGAGGTGATCTAGTCTTACACTTAAGCGAGGATGGTAGTAGAGTTACTGAAGTGCGGTGGATGAAGTTCAAGAGAAGCAAACCCTATTAATTTCTTCAGTTTCTCTGAGAATCAAATTACAAATAAAGTTACTTTTGGCAGAAATTCCAACTAGAAGTAAATTTTAAGAAGGGAGAGATTATGTTTGGAGCATCCCATACTTGGACCAAGACTTTAGTTTCTTTATACTCTTCAAATGTTTGTTGTTAGCTCAGATGTGCTTAGTTACCAGTTACTCATGTGCCATTGCCTTACCAGCTGCAAGTTCTGCTTGTGACAGAAGTACTGTGCCATTACAGTATTTTGAGGCCAGAATCCTGTCAGGGCAGGAGCCCTTACCTTTGTTAATGGGTTATTGTGAAAATCAAGCTTACAGGAGTTAAGACAAAGGAAGAAAGTCATTGAGTTATTGCTCTTGATAGATGGATTTGGCCAGCTTACTGCTGTGGTATAAAAAGACTGACTCTTCATTTATAACAACATAACATTAAAAATATTAAATCACTTTAGGCAAGTATGAGATGTTTAGTGCTAGGTCACAATGTTAGCTTTTCAAAAGCATTCTGGTGTGGACTTTATATGATGACTGAAAGAAAATCAATGCTAAGGTAATGCCTGGTTGAAATCTTAAAATGCTTAGGACAATTCCAAAGGGCAACTGAGGACTTGGTCCTATATTCATCACAGGTAGGGCAGTGTTGGCCCATAAAATAATAGGAAATAATGTAACACATTTGATCTTCTGATTTAATTTGTTAATAAGTAAGAGAAGATTTGTTGATGTTACCTTGTTTTTACTCTAAGTTGTTGTTTGTGCCACTGCAAATTTATAATATTTGACCTCTCAGGTCACAAACTTTCCAACCTTGAAAATACAATTTATTTATTTATTTATTTATTACAACAGTGAAAGCTGACCATGGGGTCATGTGATTTACTCTTAGGAAGCATCCAGAGGAAATGAAAAGTATCTATTTGTGTGCTCATCCATATTTAAACGTTTAGACTTTCTGCTGACTGTCACTTGACTCTGTACCTTAGGAATGTATGCAGGTGGTCTACAGATGGCTTGATTTGCTTGGCTTGTTTAACATGCACATTGCATTCTGTGCTGGGTTCATAGCATGAGGTTTAATACAGTGTGAGCTTCATGTGTTTATACAAAATAGAATAAGTTTATTAAACTGGAAAATATATATATATATATATTTATTTTTTTTTTATTCTAACTCTTTAGACGTCTGAACAAGAATAAATTGCAAGTTCTTCCAGAGCTGCTTTTTCAGAACACACAGAAGTTGACTAGATTGTAAGTACAACCTGATTTTTTCTATTTTATGTTTCTTGTTTTTCCAGTTTGCATGTTTGTGTGTTAACTTTGGTGAGAGGTTTGATTTTTGTGATATTACACCTGCTAGATAATTAGGATTCTTAAGATGATGATTTGTTGGTGTGAGGGATGTCATAATTTAGTAGAGCATAAATATCAGTAGGAAGAGAAACCTTTTTTTTCCTAATCTATTCACCATGATTAATTCAAGGTGAATTATTTTCAACTCTGTGTAGATTTCTAGAGACCTGTAGTTAATAGTCTAGATGTCCACAAAGAGAGGTTTCATAGTCTTATTTAAAAATCAGTAGGTTGACAGAATACAGATTGTTTGCAGCTTTTTTAGTTGTAAAAATTATCTAAATCAAGGTATTGCCAGAGAGACCAGCAAAGTTATGGCAGCTGCCTTGTCTGTCAGGAAGGTGGGAAAATATGGAGAGAGAAATTATTTTCATCTCCTTAAAATATAAAAAACTGTTTAAAAATGTTTACGTGACATTAAGACCAATTTGGACAGCAAGACAAGACTAAAATGAGCATGGCCTTTTGTTTTGATGTGTGGAGAGAGAGCGATCTTTAAACAATGACTGGATGATTTTTTCTTTCTTTTTTTTTTTTTTTTTAATAGCAAATAGATATGAAATAGATGAACAGGTGCCTGTACAGTTACTATCAAGGAAAGTTATCTTTTTAAAGGAGTAGTCAGAAATTGTTTTAAATTGCTCTTAAAACCTGCCAAAGTTAAGTGCCTTATTCAGTCTGTCTTTCTGAAATATATGCTATAATGATAAAGCTGGGGATTTTATGCTGGATTTTATATATGGAAGACTAGTTGGGAAGATGGATGATTTGGCTAGTGAAATTTTGAGGTTAGTTACAGGATCATTGTAAAGTGATTTTTAAGAAGATAGGCTCTTTGTTTTTTTAAAAGCAGACAAATTGAACAGTATTGTGTGGTGAGTGATGCTGATACAGTCTGGGAAAGTTTCTATAATTGAGCTTTGCTGCTTTTTGAACTTGCTCATGAAAAACTGTACAAGTAAATTGATGACATTGTTCCAGAAATAAATATAAAATAAATAATTACAAACTATAGCTGTCTTGTCAACCTGAAAGATCTGCTTAAAAAATCTGTTAGATGTTTTTGCAAGCATTGTTGCAGCTTTTGAATGGAGTAGAAAATATTTGCTCAATTAATTTACTAGAACTGTGTGATATGGATTTATATTTTCATGTTCCTTGCATGTTCTTGAAATTTTGTAGTTTGAGACTCCTTTTGAGTATAAAATGTGAACTCAAGAATAAATTGCAAGTTCTTCCAGAGCTGCTTTTTCAGAACACACAGAAGTTGACTAGATTGTAAGTACAACCTGATTTTTTCTATTTTATGTTTCTTGTTTTTCCAGTTTGCATGTTTGTGTGTTAACTTTGGTGAGAGGTTTGATTTTTGTGATATTACACCTGCTAGATAATTAGGATTCTTAAGATGATGATTTGTTGGTGTGAGGGATGTCATAATTTAGTAGAGCATAAATATCAGTAGGAAGAGAAACCTTTTTTTTCCTAATCTATTCACCATGATTAATTCAAGGTGAATTATTTTCAACTCTGTGTAGATTTCTAGAGACCTGTAGTTAATAGTCTAGATGTCCACAAAGAGAGGTTTCATAGTCTTATTTAAAAATCAGTAGGTTGACAGAATACAGATTGTTTGCAGCTTTTTTAGTTGTAAAAATTATCTAAATCAAGGTATTGCCAGAGAGACCAGCAAAGTTATGGCAGCTGCCTTGTCTGTCAGGAAGGTGGGAAAATATGGAGAGAGAAATTATTTTCATCTCCTTAAAATATAAAAAACTGTTTAAAAATGTTTACGTGACATTAAGACCAATTTGGACAGCAAGACAAGACTAAAATGAGCATGGCCTTTTGTTTTGATGTGTGGAGAGAGAGCGATCTTTAAACAATGACTGGATGATTTTTTCTTTCTTTTTTTTTTTTTTTTTAATAGCAAATAGATATGAAATAGATGAACAGGTGCCTGTACAGTTACTATCAAGGAAAGTTATCTTTTTAAAGGAGTAGTCAGAAATTGTTTTAAATTGCTCTTAAAACCTGCCAAAGTTAAGTGCCTTATTCAGTCTGTCTTTCTGAAATATATGCTATAATGATAAAGCTGGGGATTTTATGCTGGATTTTATATATGGAAGACTAGTTGGGAAGATGGATGATTTGGCTAGTGAAATTTTGAGGTTAGTTACAGGATCATTGTAAAGTGATTTTTAAGAAGATAGGCTCTTTGTTTTTTTAAAAGCAGACAAATTGAACAGTATTGTGTGGTGAGTGATGCTGATACAGTCTGGGAAAGTTTCTATAATTGAGCTTTGCTGCTTTTTGAACTTGCTCATGAAAAACTGTACAAGTAAATTGATGACATTGTTCCAGAAATAAATATAAAATAAATAATTACAAACTATAGCTGTCTTGTCAACCTGAAAGATCTGCTTAAAAAATCTGTTAGATGTTTTTGCAAGCATTGTTGCAGCTTTTGAATGGAGTAGAAAATATTTGCTCAATTAATTTACTAGAACTGTGTGATATGGATTTATATTTTCATGTTCCTTGCATGTTCTTGAAATTTTGTAGTTTGAGACTCCTTTTGAGTATAAAATGTGAACTCATACTTGTTGATAACCATTATCTGTTCTCTAGAAGCTGCCAGTTGTATTTATTTCATAGAGGTGTTGCTTCATGTAGGTTGGTTGTCTAAGGGAAATAGTTATAATAGTTAAAAGAAAAGAAAAGAAAGAAAGAAAGAAAAGAAAGTTATATAAATAGTTAAAAGAAATAAATATGGAGTTTGCATCTATCTATGAATACAAACTGCAGTTTCACAGGAAAAGGCTGAATGTGTTAGTGGTAGCACTGCTCATGGCTCTCGGGCTGAGAAGAACTTCTGGTAATTGGTGGCTTTGAGGGAAAGTTGTGTGTGTTGGTAACTTGTGTGCACCTGCCTTAGGGAACCTTGCACAGACACCAAGTGAAAATTATTGAGGCTTTTCAATACCAGAGTGTCTCTTTCAGTAGATGATGTAATCACAACATGTAATAGTCCTTAACACCATGGGTATTAGTTTAAATTTTAGAATATAAAGATTGTAATAAAATTCCATAAAATAGAATGATCAATATCAGTGCTGTGTTCTGTAATGCCTCCCCGTGCATGCTGGCAAAATATTTGCCTTTCTTCATGGACATTTATCCCAAGTCTTGCTTGCTTAATAGTGCTTGAGATACATTACCTAAGTAACTTTCTCTCAGTTTAAACTTAATTTTTCTTTGGAAGCTTTATATTTTATATTAATACGGTGTGTATTTTAGTAAACAAATCTTAGCTGAGTGAACTGTTGTAGTTCCAAATGCAGTTTGTATGTTCTTTCAGTGATGGGATAAGAACAAGACATTTACTACCTACTAGAATATGAAAAAACACATGTATATATATATTTTTTTTTTTTGTTACTGCCTTGTTCCTGCTGCCAGTAGCTTTCAGAGCTGTTTTTCGCACTGCTGTTAGGGCTTGTCTGCAATCCAGCAGTGCCAGCCCTTTGCTCTTGCCTGGCTTTCCAGGCAGAAAACCCTTCCCTGCAGAGGTGTGATGCTGCACTCCCCTCCTGCAGCTGCTCTCACCAAGTTTTTCCAGAAGACAGCTGAGCTGAGACAGGGTGAAAGAGAGTAAAGGAAGTGAAGAAGAAATTGATGAGAGAGAGTGATAAATGGGTGATATAGGCTCTGTGGTATTTTTGAAGAGCAGATTAAAATGAATATAAAGTGTAGTTAGTGATGATCTTAATTTTCCACAGTATAGTCACATTATTTCTGCTGCTATATTTTCACTCTTGACTCTGAACTACGAAGCTGTCAGTTAATTATTTTACTCTTTCTGACTAGTTATAATATGGATGAACTAGCAGGTCCAATATTGAGTATTAGAATTATTTAGCTGGCTACAGCTCCGACGATGTAAAATTTTAAGAATTAAATATTGCCATGCAGCATGCCCAAAATGTAAAATGTGATTTTATTTGTTGAAAACAGTTAATAGTTTTGTTTGCAGTGATTCTTACAGCTGCTCTGTTTGGCAGGCATGCAGTGAACCACAACAGTATACAACTTTGTTAAAGAAGGTCCAAACACAGGATTTAAAAAATAGAAACCATAAATATGACATATTAAGTTTGATAACTGGATAATAGTGCGGAAGTTGAGCTTATTTATTAACATTACAAGAATTTGGTTGAGATGCAGTGACTGAGCTGCTTCAACGTAAAGGAATTTTATGTGCTGGAGGGTTTCAGGGAAGACCTGTTAATGGTTCAGGAATAGTTAAAGTTTGCAAAACAGATGGTAAGAATTTTCCCAGTGTTCTGTCAGCTGGGTTGAAATCTGCCTGGAGTTTGCTAGAGGGACAAACTTCTTAGTATCAGCTGAGCTTCTTCGGTCTGGCTGCTGGAAATGTAAATGTAGAACATGAAGTTTTCCTGTCAATAATCTGCTTGAAAAGCTAGAGATGGTTTCCTTGTGCATTTTCACTGAAATGCAGTCTCTCTATAAATGAATAAAATTTAATTTAGAATGCTTCTCAGATTGGAACAATTTCCTCAATCAACCACTTAGTCCCAGGTACCTTTGCCTTTTTTTTTTTTTTTTTTTTTTTTCAATTCTTTCCTGAAATGTTGAACTACAGGATATCCTTGCATCTTTTACAGTGCTGTTTAAACTTTGTTGTCACATCTGGTTGATATTAGAAGCAGGTATATATATATAAGGGAATAAATGTTAGATGGAATGTGAAACGTCCCACCAAATGAGTTTCTCATAGTGTTTTGAGCCTTTTCTTCTGGAAAGAGTTGATTTGAGACTCGTGGATTTTTATTTGCTTTAGTTTAGGTAAGAGGTTTAAGTTGGATGGTGAATGAACC